GCTAGGTCTCAGGGAAGCTTACTACTGGGTCTGCATCAAAGAGGGAGATGAGTGGAAAACTGCTTTTAACTGCCCTTTGGGTAGCTTCCAATTCAAAATCATGCCTTTTGGACTTCAGCGGGCTCCTGCAGTGTTTATGCAGCTCATCAATGGGGTGCTACACTCGCACCTTTACCAGGGGGTCCTCGTGTACCTGATTGACATCCTTATCTTCAGCGAAAGCATGGAAGAACATGTTCAACTGGTTCAACAAGTTCTAGAAAAACTTCTAGCCGCCAAATTATATGTGAAACTCTCAAAATGCGAATTCCACAAGGAGTCGCTGGACTACTTAGGCTACCGAATATCCAACCTGGGGATTGAAATGGAACCCAAAAAGGTGAAAGCGGTGCTGGACTGGCAACCCCTCAGAACCTGAAAACAACTTCAAAGTTTCTTGGGGTTTGCCAACTTCTATAGACAATTCATTCCGTCCTTTGCTGAAGTTGCCCTCCCATTGACAGAGCTATTAAAAACGGGCCCGTCGATGGCTGGCAGATTTCCGGTGATGATGTGAAGACGAACAGAGGTGTAGAAGCCCGTCTCCGGTCCTTCTAAATCCTTTTTGCTGTTTGGTGTGACCCCTCGGGATGTACGGTTTCTGTAGAGAATCGTGCTGGTGTTGGGAGACTCAGGCTTTGGTGAGAGGAGAGGGCAATCCCTCATCGCAACGAAGAGAAACCCTGCAGAGGCTAACCAGCAAGAGATCGCCAGCTTGTAATGGCGATCCCATAGTCCGAACTGTCACCCGTGAAAGGAAGAGAGTGACAGCCTGTGGTGGCTAACGAAGAGGTTTGTGCGGAGATCCTGCGAGAGTGTTCGATTATTGATTGGTGAAGAGATTTGTTGAGAAGCAACAAGCTGATCAGAGCCTGGAAAGATGCAGTGAAGAAGAGAGGACGCGAAAGTGTTTGAAAGTGAAAGGGCTCGAGAGGAGGAAGTGAAGATTAACAGTAGTGACTTAGAGGAGAAGGAGGCTCGGATCAGAGAGGTTTGCTATATTGTTGCCAGTTGGAGAAAAAAGTTTGACACATGGAGGTTTGGGCGGCTTTTGGATTATTTTTTGCTTGGAAGGATTGGGTGGCTACTTCTGAGACCAGGAGAAGACTTGAACCTTTGAAGTAGATTAAAGACTTGTGGTTATAGACGATATCAATAACTGATTTAAGTCTCTCTGGATGTGGAACAGGGGTTGATGGCTGGGGGAGTACTTTAGTGGAGAATTTTGGGAAAACTATTTGCTTGAAACCCAAGACAGAAGGAGGAGTGTATACTGCTGAGTGTGTTGAGATATTAGGAAGCCATAAACGTTACTCAGCAATTCTTCCCCCCCCCTTTTTTTTTTTGCCTGAACGCGAGGAAGTGAAATCATCTAGCTTCAGAGACGGAGAGCTGGACAATTAATTTAAGACTCTCCCCTTTCTTTAATTTTGGATATTTGGATCAACTATTCTATATTTTAGTATCCTTTACCTATGTATTGACTGAAGGAAACATTTGATGAGTGTAATTGTGAGGTATTCTGCCGGACCTAGCTGATTTATCAGCAACTTGTTAAGTAACATTGATATTGATAATAATCATTTAACATTTATAATATTTACTACATTTATAGTTATAACTGATTAACTACATATTAATATTTGAATATATCTTGCTTATTACTTTAAATAATCAATTGACTTTTTGATGATCTGCTACAGCATTAAAATCCCCTATAATACAAATATTTTTCCTTTCCAGATCAATGATTTTGGCATATAAAGCTTTATAGAATTCTTTTTGATTGGCATTAGGGGCGTAAATTACCACCAATAGGATTTTTTTTTTTGAATTTATCTGTATTTCTATTGCCAGAACTCTTCCTCTGGGGTCTGCAAATATTAATGTTGCTTTTATCTCTTCTTTAATGTAAACTGCTATTCCATTCTTTTTTTTTTCGTTATCTGCAGAAGCCATAAACACTGTCTCTAATTTGGAGCAGACTAAATATTTTTCCTGTGTTTTTAAAATGTGTGTTTCCTGTAAACAAACAATATCTGCATTTTGTTTTATCAACTTTGCCAGAATCCTTTGTCTTTTCAAAAAGATTATAATGGGGGGAATAAGAAGGGAAGGGAAAAAAAGAAGAGAGAATTACCTAAAATTTGTGTAGAAATGATTAAAGAATTAAATTTAATAGATGTATGGAGAAAATTAAATCCTAACCCTAAACCTGAAATAAAAGGATTGAAAATTAAAAATCAAGAATATAAACTGCAAGCTTTTGCAGATGATATGGCTTTTATTATGGAAGATCCAATAGAAAAAGGATAAATATTAATTAAGGAACTAGAAAGATATGGAGCGGTGGCAGGATTGAAAATTAATAGACAGAAAATGAAACTTCTAGTAAAAAACTTAACAGATCTACAAATAACATAGTTAGAAAGGGTGCTCAGATTCCAAACAACAAGAAAAATTAAATATTTGGGAATATGGCTGACAGCACAGTGTAAGGCAATAAAGGAGAATAATTATAATAAGCTATTACAACAAACAAAAAAAGATTTGGAATTATGGACAAAAATGCAACTGTCATTACTAGGAAGAATAGCAGCCATAAAAATGTCTATATTACCAAAATTTCTTTATCTATTGCAAACTATTCCAGTTAAATTAGAAAATACCTTTTTCAATAATCTTAATAGAATGACAGCAAAAATTTATCTGGCAGGGTAAAAAAACCCAGAATAAAAATGAAATTACTACAAGATATGAAGAGCAGAGGAGGCTTTGAATTGCCAAATTGGGAATTATATTATAGTGCAGCAACATTAGTTTGGCTAAAAGATTGGATTAAGTTAAAGAATAAAAGAATATTAGCTATAGAAGGTCATGACCTTCAGAGGGGATGGCATGCCTTTCTTTGGGACATAGGATCTACTAAACAAAAATATTTCCACAGACATCTGATTAGAGATTCGTTGATATACAATTGGATCAAGGTTAAAAAGAAACACTATATAAAAATCCCAATTTGGCTATATACAATGGAAGTGACGATCCACCCAAATAATTTAGACCTGAACAAAATGTTAAAATATAAAGACTTATTGGATACAAATGGAAATTTAAAAACAATATAGGAGCTCCAAGAACAAGGGCTATGAGTAGACTGGTGGGGTTATCTTCAAATACAAAGTCGATATAAAAAGGATGTAAAGGAGTATGGAATATACTTGAAACCTCAACAATCAGACAAAATTTTATTAGGCCCAGATAAAAAAAAATTACCAAAATTTACAAGTATCTCCTAGAAGTAGAATTAGAAGAAGAGGTGAAAGGATGCATGATCGCATGGGGTCAAAATATTGGTCATAACATAAAGTTATCAGATTGGGAGACTGTATGGAATAGAAACCACAAATTAACAAAATCAGTAACATACAAAGAAAATGCATATAAAATGTTCTATAGGTGGCACTTACCCCCTTCAAGATTAGCGAAAATGTACCCTAAAATGAGTTCCATATGTTGGGTTAGGGTGGTCTTGCCCAGAGGTTCGAAAATACTGGCTCAAAATTCAAAATTGGCTACAGGAAATCACCAATGAACAACTAGACCTAGAACCAGAACTCTTCCTATTGGGGATCAAAAAAAATACGTAGAGTACAAAATACTTATTATTACACATACTGACTGTTGCCAGGATTGCCTTTGCCCAGTGTTGGAAACAGCCATATACACCTGTAGAGGAACTGGTTATACAAAAAGTTATGAATTGTGCTGAAATGGATAAATTAACACTGAGTTTAAAAGATAAGGAATCTTCAATATTTTATAAGGTATGGGAACAATGGTATAGCTGAATAGATCGGAGACAGATTAAGGATAAGTAATTATTAAATATAGAATATAAAAAATAAAATTATGCACAAATTAATATTTGTAAATATCGCACAATGATTGTTACATAATAAGCACCACAAACAGCTGTTATTGAATTACATATTTTTAATGTTTTTAATGTAATAAAATTCAACAAAGTTTATTAAAAAAAAAACGGGCCTGTCACCCACCAAACCAAAGCCGAGTCAACCCCTGGCTTGGACTATGGACTGTCAGAAAGCTTTCAAGACCTCTTCGCAGCTGAGCCCATCCTCCAGCACCCAGACGTGACCAAGCCTTTTATTGTCCAAACAGATGCAAGTGATGTAGCAGTGGCAGCTGTTTTGCTGCAAAAAGACTCTCAAGACCGACTGATGCCTTGCGCTTATGTGTCTGAAAAGCGGACAGACACAGAGCAAAGGTGAGCGGTCTGGGAGAAAGAAGCATTCGCCATACGATGGGCTTTATTGACTTGGAGGCATTTTCTAGAAGGGGCGCCAGAGGCCTTTGAAGTATAAACTGATCATAAGAACCTTGAGGATCTAAAGACTCCTAGGAGATTATCGTCCAAACAAGTCCGCTGGCCCCAATATTTCAAGCAATTCAACTTCAACATTAAATATATCCCCGGAGGGAAAAACGTACTGGCAGACGTACTGTCCAGAAAACCTCAGTTTGACAGCCATCGAGAGGAAATAGTACAATCCTTAATTTCAGATGCTCAATCGGCAGGCCAAGTGACCACTCAAGCCCAAGCCAACCACAACCCCAAATGCCTGGAAGATAAGCTGACTGCAGAATTGAAAACAGCCCTATTGACCTGGATGGCCCTATTGATTCCTGGACCATCAAACCGAGTTGACAATGAATGATGGACTAGCTTGGAAAGGGACTAAGCTTTATGCATCCACAACCCTAAGACTACTGGTACTAAAGCATAGCCATGACTCCCAGCTGGGAGGCCACTTCGGATTCCTAAATCCCTACATTTACTGAGAAGACAGTTCTGGTGGCCAAAAATGAAATCTGATGTCGAGGACTATGTAAAAAGTTGTTCAATTTGTGCCACAATGAAACACAGAACTGGAAAACCCCCTGGCCTCCTGCAACAAGTTGCTGAACCAACCCAACCTTGGGAAGAAATCGCAATGGACTTTATTGTTGAATTACCTAAGAGTGAAGGGAATACGATCATTTGGATTATAATTGACTTATTCTCTAAACAGGCCCATTTTATAGCCTGCAAAGGACTTCCATCTGCGAAAAAACTTGCAAAGCTGTTTGTGAAACATATCTATAGACTACATGGAGTACCTTGTAGAGTAATATCAGACAGAGGGGTACAATTTACCGCAAAATTTTGGAGGGAATTTCTGAAATCCATTGGTTCCTCTCAAGGGATATCCTCAGCTTTCCATCCTGCTTGTAACGGAGCAGTGGAGAGAGCTAACGCCATGATTGAACAATACCCTAGATGCTATGTAAATTATCAACAAGAAAATTGGGCTGAATTATTACCTTTTGCAGAGGTTGCTTACAATAATGCAGTGCATAGCAGCACGGGATTGACTCCATTCCAAATCAACACTGGAATGGATTTTGTCCCGATGCCAGAGTTACCTAGACAACCTCCCTCATCCATGTCCCTAACAGAATGGATGAATTCATTAAAGAAAGGGTGGGAAGATACAAAAAAAAGCTTTGACCGAAGCTGCAAAAGATTATAAAAAACAGGCGGATAAACATCCCTTCAACCACCTTTTAAAGTAGGGGACAAAGTATATTTGTCGACCAAGTACCTTAGGTTGAAACTGCCCAGTAAGAAGCTGGGTCCAAAATTCTTGGGTCCGTTTCCAATTTCAAAGATAATCAATCTGGTCACTGTCCAATTAAGTCTTCCTCGAATATTGGGGAAAATTCATCCAGTGTTCCATTGTAGTTTACTAAAACCAGCTACTACATCAATGATAAGACCACTGCCAATCACTCCCCCTAAACCGTTAATGGTACAGAGGCAAACCCATTATGAAATTCAAAAAATTCTCGATTCTAGATTACACCATGGCTGATTGCAATATTTGGTCTTATGGAAAGGATACCCCCTTTCAGATGCTAGTTGGGTAAAGAGTTGGGATGTTCATGCTGATCAATTGGTTAACCAATTCCATGAGGATTTTCCCCACAAACCGAAGGGTCCTCATGGAGAGGGGACAGACGGTTAAGGACAATGTATTAACTCCTGTATGTGTTTTTTTTTTCTTTTAGGAGGAGGAGTTTTCAAGGAGGGACGCCTGTCAGCTTTGAAATTCAGCTGCCACATTTTTTTTTTGAAGGGGGTTGGAGGAGTTGAAAAGTTCAAGGTTATTCTGTATGTCGTATTAAGAAATTCCAGTTGCAGTTAATTGGTTCTCATGAGTTATGAAGCGTAGAAGTGGGAGGAGAGAAGGTAGATTCTGTGTAACGCGTGAAAATATTTCACTTTGGGAAATTGCTTTAGACATACCAGATCTGTTTCTAAATAAATCAATTGGAGAGAAAATGTCTCAGAGAGATTGATATCACAGATACTTTCTGGATGCCTTACACCATGTTTGAGTGAACCAAGAAAGGCAAAACAAATGAGGAAACACCATCCAACTCCTTGAAGCATCCTGATGCTATGGAAACATACAAGAGTGGCCCTAGCTTCACTTGAGTGCAGCCTTTGCATTTGGAAAAGTCCTGGGTTTTAGTATTGATCTCATTCAAGGAATACAGGTTACTTTCATCATCCCTTATGAAAAACCTTCTGAGCAACATTATTCCAATTTAAGTTTTATAACATTTTTCTGTCAGTAGACGAGTTTCATAGACTTTTTCCAATATTGCTCTATGTCACATTCAGCTGGAATAAAATTCTGCTGCTTTTGAATCTATTATTTTCCTCCCCATGAATATGTAGTCAAGGTTAGACTAAGGATATGGCAAGACAAAGCGAGTGCCAGAACTGGTCTCCTCCTGCAGCTCTTGTTGGGGGAGAGAATTTCTCTTCCAAACTCAATTATCCTCCAATCAATGATATTATTTTTAGAGATAATGTTCGGTGGTGGGATTCAAAAATTTTACCGGTTCTGTGGGCATGGTTAGGGGGCATGGCCATGTGACTAAGTGGGTGTGGCTTTTTTTTTTTGCTTTTTGCAGCAACTCCCCCCCCCCGGGGTTTTGGGCCTTCTGAGCCTCAGGCAAGCCTCCTGTGGGGGGGGGGTTGTTCCCAGAAGGCTTCCCTGGAGCTCAGGAAGGCAGATAACTGAGCCTGGAGAGGGGCATGCACCCACCCACACTTTGTTTTGGGGCCTTCTGGGCCTCAGGGAAGCTTCTTGGGGGCATTTTTGCTCCCAGAAGGCTTCCCTGGGGTTCAGGAAGGAAAAAAAATGAAGCGTGGGGGGGCGTAGCTCCTCCCACACTTCATTTTGGGGCCTCCCTGGGGCCCAGGAAGGCAAAAAAGAACCCTCCAACCCCCCCCCCTCATTTTTTGCCTTTCTGGGCCTCAGGGAAGCCTCTTGGGCAAAGCAGTAAGTAAGCAAGGGGAATCCCGGCAGAGCTGATCATAGGAACAGCTGACTGTCGGGAGGGGGAAAAATACCTTAAGAGTGGGCTAGCATCAGGCGGGTAGGGTGAGTGAGCATCAGGCGGGCGGGGTGAGCGAGCAGCAACCAGACAATTGGGTCGGGGGCATGGCCAGCCAGAAGTTACTATCAGTTTGGCGACCCACACCAAATCCTTGCTACCGGTTCACCCGAAGCAGTGCAAACCAGCTGAATACCACCACTGATGATGTTTTGAAAGACCAGACAACTACATGTGCACATATTTGTACAAGAGAGGAACAGTACCTATGATAGGTAGCCTTTTCCAAGATAATTATCTGAAAACTTCTTTCTCAAAATTCTACAGAGCCATTAGCCTTGGGCATCCATATTGCTGCAAGCTTCCATACTGATGGAAACTGAAAACACTACAGAGAGTGCAAATAACATCTTGACAAAATCAATGTTGTCTGATGGACAATGGTAATGGCCAGATAAAAATCTCCCACTGGTGAAATACCACTACTCTGATCATTTTTTCACTTACCCAGTGAGGTGAGGGGCGAGCCCCAAGGGGCTCTCGCTTCTGGCTCCAATAGCTCAGCGCTGGCCGGGCATGACCCACTCCAGGGACAGTGTCAGGTGGGGAGTTTGACTGGGGTAGTACACCTGTCAAACCGTAACGCAGGTGTCCTAAGGCAAGGACAGAAACCTCCTGCGGAGCAGAAGGGGAAAAGTTTGCTTGATCTTGATTTTCAGTACGAATACAGACCGTGAAAGCAGGGCCTCATGATCCTTCTGACTTTTTGGGTTTTAAGCAGGAGGTGTCAGAAAAGTTACCACAGGAATAACTGGCTTGTGGCAGCCAAGCATTCATAGTGACATCACTTGCCTCCATGCTAAGTGTAAAGCAAATGTTAGCAGACCCATGTTCCTTATTAGTGCGTGAACAAATCAATGCTTGGGGACTTTTGCTTCACAATGATAGGAAGTGCTATTTTCAATTTTGCTTTTCTATCTTATTTCTTCAGTTTTCCCCAGACTGTAAGTTCCTTCAAGACAGCTACCTGTATCTTTTGTTTCTTGAACTCTACAAAACTGCTTACCAGCCAAAACTTTTCTGGCCAAAGGATATGTCAACCTTAATGTTCTGTTGCTCCAAAGTTATAGAAAAATGGAAACTAATTATGTGATGCGTTCTGCACAATCTATAGAAGTGAGAGAAGAAATACAACAAAAAGTCTTTAGAACATGAGAGAGAGGAGGAGAGGAGTTCCAGTTTCAGAGGGGATATGCACAGCATCTCTCCAAACAAATCTATTGGTTGGGAGGTCAGCAAAAAGGAAGCACTCACACATTCACAATGCTTGTCTATCTGAAAAAAAAGGCTCCCAAACTCACTTCTGACATAATGCTTCACCTAAGTCTCAAGTACCTGTAGTCTAGGAAATTAAAAATATGTGCAACAACTTTAAGAAACAGGCTTGCCCAAGAAAGTTTCTAAGCTTTATTTGCATCTGAAAGGAAGAGCTGAAAGAACAGACTTGTTAAATTTCACACTCCTTTGATAAAGGCAAGAATCTGTTGAAAAGGATCATGAGAAATTTAACTGCTATGTGTTTAAGATTAGCACCTTTTAGCTGCAAAAAACTATAGGGCTGCTAGCCCCCAAACTTTTATATTCTGCCAAGTGAGTGAAGGGACGAGAGAGAGAGAGAGAGAGAGAGGGGGGGGGGGGGGGGGGGGGGGGGGGGGGGGGGGGAGGGAGGGAGGGAGGGATATCAGGATAAAAATCTATTATTAATAATAATGTCAGTAAAGTAAAATAAACTTTGATTTTTTTCATTTTTCACTGAACATGGGATATTAAACTCTTACAATAGAAAGAATAGGTTTGGGTAAGGCAAGTAAATTACTTCCTCCCCAAATACTCACAGTGTTAAATAAACTGTCAGCTCAGCCATAAAACACTAAAAAGGCCAAAGAATATTGACAGAGCTAAGAGAAGATACTAAGAGGCAAGCAAAGGCTCTGGGAAGCAAGGCATAAGATTACCCATAGAAGTAATTCTTTAGAAAAAAAAAACTATATCCATTAAATATTGCCTTTGCTTTCTCAAATAGACATCTCATTAATACCTCTATTACCTCAAACTTCTGCCTCCCTCAAATCAAATCAAATCAAATCAAACGTTTATTGTCAATGCACATGTGTACAATGAAATTGAAATGAGCCCCCCTCCCCATAACATAAAATACATCTTACTCAATAAATGAAATAGTATCCCTAAACCCAAATAAGTAATAACACACATTCCCATATACCTGTATGTATGTATATTATATGTTGCACGTTGCGCTGGCCCTGCAAGTCTATCATATTAAACCTAATTGTGGTGTTACGTTGCGTTCAGAAGTCTTGACAGCCCACGGATAAAAGCTACTTTTCAGTCTATTCATTTGGCTGGCTATTCCTCTATATCTCCTGCCTGATGGTAGGAGAGTAAAATAGTGCTGACCAGGGTGTGAATCATCCCTGAGGATATTCCTCACTCTGCTGAGATAATAGGTCGTGGCAATTTCCATGCTTTCAGTCATGATGGAACACTGGCCGTTTGCAGGGAGATGTTAAAAATCCTTGTTAGAACTTCTGATAGTTGGTCAGCACAGCACTATCCCCGGCACCCCATCTAGACCTGCAGCTTTATTGGAATTCACGGCCTTCAATACAGCTCTCACTTGGTGTTCATGCAAAGTGAATGGCTGGGAGTTGGAGGGCCAGTGGGCTGGGGTTACAGGGTCAGGTCTCTTGACCTAATAGCGGGCAAATGGGCATTGGTATATTTACCTGAGAATGCCCTTTCTATTCACACTGCAAGAGAGTCCAAAAATGGGTAAGACTCCTCCCTCTGACATCATAGAGCTGAGTCTGCCACTAAATAAAGTCAGCCCATAGCTGGCTCCCCAGCTTTAGGTGAAGATACTTGATAGACTTGGAGTGTCTCTGGAAGAAAAACAATTCGAAACAACCACCCCTCACCAAGACCAGGTGTCATAAGGGTAGGGCTGGACTCTCTTGCAGCGCTGAGAGTCCAGGAATGGGACATACCAAGCCTGCATGTCCATGGGAGGGCCATTGTCTGGTCTGCTTACTCCGATTGTGGGACAACCTTCTGGAGCACCTGTCTGCCAAACACTGCGTCTGCATAGGCAAATGAGTCCAGACGATAGTGCTGGATGAGGGACGATGGAGATGCCCAGGTGGCTGCCTTGCAGATCTCTTCAAGAGACGCCTGAGTAGCCCAGGCAGCTGGGGTCGCAGCACTTCTAGTGGAATGGGCCATTAGGTTCTTGGGCACCAGAAGAGACAAGGACAAGAGTAGAAGAGGCCTTGCTCCCCAAAGAAGTTAGTCAGAAGAACACGAACATGGCTTCAGTTTTGCGAAATGTAGCAGTACATTTGATGTAGATATGGAGGGCTCTCCGTACATCCAATGTATGCTACATCAACGTATGCCAAATCATGGTGTGGCTGTGGACAGAAGTCCGGTAACACAATGTCTTGTGCACGATGAAACCATGTATTAATTTTCTAAATAAAGGAGGATCTAAACATAAAACAACCCTGTTCTCATGAAAAATACCGAGATCATGTCTGTCTGAGAGAACCACCACTTCAGACATTCTCCTGGATGATGTAATGGCCACTAGAAAGACCACCTTAAGGGTCATGAATTGAAGTGACACAGACCTGAAGAGTTCAAACAGAGGGCCCCGTAAGGGCCTGCAACACCTTGGGGAGCTCCCACGTGGGGTATCTGTGAAGATTGGGGAGATGCAGATTGGAGGCCCCCTTTAAAAACCTGAGAACTGAAGGATGATGGGACAGGGAAGAATAATTTTCCCAGGACAGAACAGATGACAGGACTGCCACCTGGCGGTGGAGGGTGTTAGGAGAGAGCCCTTTATCTAACCTGTCCTGAAAGAACAGTAACACATCTGCTACTGATGCTGTGGTGGGATCCTGGTTTTCTTTCAAGCACCAATTGCAGAAAACCTTCCAGGAAATATTGTAGATGCGAATCATTGAAGGCTTGTGGGAAGCCTGGATGGTGTGGATCACCCTATCAGGAAGGCTAAAGTCCCTCAGATGTTGCCACTCAAGCGCCACACGGTCAAACAGAACTACTGGGGGTCTGGGTGAAGCAAGGTTCCTTGGTGGAAGGAGATCCTGTTGGCCGGGAACCTCCACGGTTAGGCTACAGACAAGTTCACCAGATTGGCGAACCGGGGTCTCCTGGACCAATGTGATGCCAGGAGAATCAGCTCTGCCTTTACCTCCAACATCTTCCAAATGACTGCCGGAATGATAGGAAGAGAGGGAAAGGTACAGAGGAGACCTGAGGGCCATCTGCTCTGAAGAGCATTAGTCCCCTCCGCTCCCTGAGAAGGCAATCTGGTGAAGAATCTGCTTACCTGAGCATTTAGAGGAGTGGTGAAGAGGTCTACTGCTGGTGATCTGAACCTGTGTGACAGATCCCTGAACAGGGTAGGGTGGAGACTCCACTCTGATTGGTTGAACTTGCTCCCACTCAGCCAGTCGGCCTGGATATTGTCGACTCCTGAGATATGGTCTGTCCTGAGGGACAAAATATGTCTCTCCACCCACTGCCCCAGGCCTTCGGCTTCCCTTATCAAGGCCCTGGACCTCGTCCCCTCCGTCAGTTGACATGTGCCTTTGCAGCCACATTATCCATCATGACCAACACGTGGGACCCTGTCACCCTAGTCCAAAAATGTTTCAGTGCTAGGAAAATAGCCCTGAGCTCTAGCCAATTTATGGGGCAGGCTCTGTCTACCTGAGACCTTAGGCTATCTCGCCGGCCAGATGGGCCCCCCAGCCCTGAAGACTGGCATCTGTCATAAGTAAGATTCTGTCTGGTTCCTTGAATGGATGTCCTCTCCAGATAGCCAGAGATTGTCACCACCGGAAGAACCGAAGGATCTGCGGGGAAACTCAGACCCTGATGGAAGAGTGGCTGGTTCCTGCCCGTTGAAAAGGCAGCAGGAACCAATGAAGGGTCCGGGCGTGGAGACAGGCCCACAGGACGATTCCAATGCAGGAAATCATCTTTCTGAGGAGCTGGGACAGGAGAGGCAAAGGAACTGAATGTTGTCATTGAATTTTGTGGATGACCTCGTTGAGACTCTTCCCACGATCCAGAGAGAGGAAAACCTCGCAGAGAGATGTATCAATGATCGCCCCCAGATGAAGAAGTCTGGTCGTCGGGTGCAGATGACTTTTCTTGACGTTGATAGAAAACCTGTGATCCCGTAGGGACTGCAACGTGATGTTCAAGTTACAATGGGTGGATTGGAGGGATGATGATTGAATCAGGATGTCGTCCAGGTAACACTGGACCCTTATTGGTATGGCCCGAAGCGAAGCTGCCTGTCAGACTGTGCTCCTTCTAAATCCCAAGAAAGAAATACTCAGACTCCATGATGTAGAGCAGAATTTATCTTTTACTGGAAAACGAATGGTAGCAACAGAATCAATTCCGAAACTAAAATATTGGCGGGTAAAATGCATATACAAAGGGATAGAATTGCTCCCCCCCTCCAGAGATCAAATGATTCTTCCAATTAAAACTTCTGAATAGGATCATGTGGTCATCTCTAGGTGATGATGAGGCTACTGTCCGTGACCTTGACACATTTTGATAAAAGTTCGCAGTTGCGCATAAAAAAGGACAGAGGTTAGTGAGAAATGGAAAGTTACAACGAAGAATCCCCCCTCCCTTTCTTTTCCCAGCAAAGGAATGCAAAACACCTCCTGCCTTCTTCCCTTCCAAGATTCCCCCCTCCCACCGTTTCATGACAGCCGA